ATTCCTTCGTTTTTACTGTATCGGGCTGTCTGTCAATACCTCACCATCGTTCTTGGCATGCTTTTATCTCCGTTTACAGTAGCTGTTTTTGCGAATACGCTTCTTATCTGCCGATTCGCATATGTTAAAGTGTTAATTTACTTAAAATTTGGTAGAAAGTATTCGTTTTCTGTTATCTTCGACGATTTGCCAGTAAGCACCCAACTTTATCCTTCACACAAGTGCAATTTTTAGATGAAACTTTAGACCCACGTGATACGCACACCGTCTTGAACCGCATTATTCACTGTCTGCTTTTAAAACCGAAGTTCATCGAGAATTGAACCTTTAAATTTGACCAACTTTACTGACCCTAGTGCATAACGTAAGTAGTTAGTTCTTTTAGAAGGTTCAAAATAAAGTGGCATATTTGTTAATATTTAACGGCTTGCCGCATTTTGCCTCTAGCGATTGGTTGCTTCATTACTGAACACATTATATGCCTGTTTTTAAAACAGTTGTAATCCGTCAGGAGTCCGACCCGATGAGGAACTTCGCTTGAGGAGACGTTTCGAGAAAGAGTTTGTACGGTTGTGAAAATCAGTCAGTCGTCTAGATTAGCAGAGAGATTTTAAGTTTTTTGGCCACTTGTAGTGTCTAGAACAGTGGCTAGCAAGCACTGTTCTCTCAGGCTCAGCATTGGGAAAAAATCTACTTAGCCCTTAGATAAAAATGCCTTACAAAGCAAACTATTACTCTGATAGTGCCTTATTCTTTTACCACTTTTACTATGATTATGAACTACACGGACTGTACATAAAAATAAAAGCATAGAAGAATATTAATCGTTCGCAAATTATATACATGAATGAAAAAGTTCGCGTTGCAGGTATTTGCATGGATAAGGAAGAAGGATTGTTGAGTACTGGATAATAAACAAACTGACCTGGTGCTCGATGATTATACATATTTTCAGAGATGTACGCGTTTGTTCACGGTAAGCTATTTCATCTATATAAAGTCCTATTTGATGAGAATAAGTCTGTCTTACCAGCACAAATAGCCACCTCGCTACCTAATTATTTGTATTATCTGGGGACGAACTGTAACAGATTGCTTATATGGGCAGCGGAATAGGAATGCGCCGTCCAAGTAATAAAGACGGCTCTGTGTATAATTCTCGACTTGTTCCGCCTCCTAAAACTGTCACTAGCCCTGAATCAACAATAAACACAAACTCTAGACCTAACCCTAACTTAGTCTAACTAACCTTAACTATAACTTTAAAACTAACCCTAAACTTAAACCGGACAATAAGCAGAAACTGAATTCTACTTTCCTTGAAATTCGGCACAACGACGCTCGTAGTACAGGTGGTTCCTGTATAAGTCATCCGAGGAGCCAAGAACTAAGAGGAACGTCTTTCATTTTGGTCAGAAACACTTTATTGCAAATCCTCCTAAAAATATTTAGAAAAGACGCAAAAGAATCATTTAATCGAACGTTTGAACGGATCCATCGTTGCATGGCCCCTTTGCCCTCAAGTAAAACAATGTGACATTGTTTACCTCTATGGACCATCGGAGGAAATAGAAAAAGGTTTAGTGTGCAACGTAATGTACAAAAACCAAAACATATTGAAAAACAGAAAGGAAACTGTTGAATCGGCTCCAGAATTCCATTCTTTTTTGTGTGGAACCTGTTTATCGGTATGTCTCCTTTATCGGTCCCGCCTTACTCTCCTGGTGTTTCCATTTGAAAGCCAGGCCTCTTTCATTACATACGCTTATGATAAATCTAAGCCCTGAGTTTTATTAATGGACCTGTTTACCGGTGTCCCACGGTAAAAAAAGAGCTGCTCAATCTTGAGAAAGAGCGATAGGCTTTATTTTGAAAATATAATTCCAAAATTTTCAGCAAAAAACATCCTCTATTCAAAATGCGTAAAGTTGGGCGCACAAACTGACAACACCGGGGAATCAAAAGTAAGCCATTGACTGCAATGTTCGACCACGTGGAAAAATGTCCTTGTATTATTCGTCAAATGTAGGCCAAACTGGACTGATTTCAAAACGGCGCTAGCATCGTGACCTCATGCGCTCATAACCTCATTGTATTTCAAGTAAACAAAGAGCGATAATAATCGGTTTATAATGGGCGAAGTAGGCCAACCGACGTATAAATAAGAAAATATACGTGCCATAGGAGGGCGGAAAAAATGGCCCTCCAATCTTCCTAAATTTAATTCGCGATAACTATTCTATGCGCTGTCTTGTCCACTTTGAAAATAATAGCCTCGAAGAGCTGAGGCTGCGCCATTTGGAAGTTCTATATGTCTTTGTCTCTCCTAAACGGGGGCCACAAATTAAAATTTCTTAGCTTCTCTTATCCCTGTTTTCAAAAATATACTATTATAGCGCATTTTGCTTCAAGATGGCTTGCGTTCGACAACTTCCAGTCCTGTGTTAGTATGATCGG